CTAACGGACCGTTCAGCACTTTCAGAAGTCGTTGTGCAGTGTGTTCTTAGCCTAACTGCTGCATGGTCTGATAAGCAGTTAGAAGAGCTTCAAGATGGTAACAAAACTTGCCTATATAAAACAAGATGTTTTTCTCCACTCCAGGACAGGGCTTTCATCACTAGATGAGGATCTCTTCCTTCTGGAGAAGCTTGCTGTGCCATGCATCAGGAAGCAGAAACCCTGAGGGCAATCACCTTTTTCCCCCATAGCCCCACAAACTACTTGAAGCTCTGTCTGCATCTCTTGCCTGCACGGCAGCTGCTGTTTGTAATGCTCAAAGACCATCACCTTGATTTTTGCTCACATGGTTGTGTTGTTTACAGGGAAGGGTGTGTGTGTGTGTGTGTTTTAAAAAAACCAAACAAACAGCTCCCTCATTTCAGACTGGTAGTGTTTTCTTGCTGTGTCTGGCCTCTCTTCTTTCAGGAGTAACTGCCCCTGAGTTCATCAGCTCTTTGATACAAGGCAGCAGATAGTTCTGCAAATCAAGCCAGGAGCATTTATTAAAATGTAGTTAAATTATGCAGATAAAACATTTTTGTCCATGAAATAAAGGTAGTGGTGGTAAATCTGACTGCAATGAAAGATTTTCGGAACGCTTAATGATACTTGGCAATAAGTAATCCACATGGGGGAAAGATAACCTTGGCTGTCTTACAGAGTGATGTGTTCTAAATCAGGCATCTCTTCCTAGGAGGGATACGTAGGAGTAACTTTGGATCCTTCCCTGAAACCATTTGCCTTTTACTGCTGCTGCTGAATAGAGGCAGAGCGAGCAAACATTATGCCATTATATGAACCCACATTTAGTAACTAGAACCGCATACAGTGTCCTGTCTCAGAGAGCACAGTAACAAAAGGAGGGCCCAGAAAAGAACAGTAAGAGGTCAAGAACAGCTACCGTGTGAACAGACTAGGACTCTTACAGCTGGAAAGGGGTAATAGTCTGTAAGACAAGACCAAAAAAAAAAAAATCAAATGAATTGAGGAGACAAAAAAACCAGTAAAATAAATGAAAAAGTATAGCTGAATTTACTGCGAAAGCACATTGTGAAAAGGAGTTCTATGGAACACCCACTGGTTGCTATTAAATAAGCAGAACTGCCAGCTCAGGAAAATAATTTCCTCATCCCCATTTAGCAGAAGCAGTCCTCATCTGTGCCGAGCTGCTGCGATGCCCGAGCCAGGGCGCCTGCCCGCCTGCCTCGGTGAGCCTTTGGCCTGACCTTCTTGAAAGCTGGGCCCTAGGAATTAACAAAGACACGCTGAATGATCAGCACTGCGCAACATTAAACCCCTTTTGGAAGGAAAACGTTTGGGAATGGTTTCAGTTCTACAGATCAGGTGGTTTCTGTGTAAAATTAAAAACAGTGAGCAGGTTGTCCAGTGAGTCTATACCTTCATCCCGTACAGAGGTACGTGCAGCTTTGGCTCCATGCAGGATCCCTTGATGATGGGTTGAACAGGAGAAACAATTAGCAAGGTGAAACTTCTGTCATCATTTCACCAATTTCCTGCACTGCATTTGAGTAACTTCGTTATCAAGCAGTGTTTGCATTCATCAGTTGAGCTAACACCTTTGTTACAGCCCAGCTTGAGCGCTTACTCCACCATTTTTCATGTTCGTTTAGAAATCCTGTGCCCTAGTACCGCAGCGAGACCATGCTGTCCTGCACAGCATACATGCTTCATTTAATGGAAACTAATACAAAGAGCGCATGCCTTTGAAATTGCGGCTTAGGAATAAAAGCTTTGGAAGGTTAGAAGCAAATAAAAGCATCATGATTAAGCAAATGCTTAAAACAGTCAGGGGTTTAGCTGTCACATATGCACCAGCGATACAGAGGAAGGCTTAACTTCTTACGTTGCTCAAATGGCAGGGATGCCAGTTCTGAGAAGATTGCTCAATATTGGCATGAAAAAGGAGCTTAGAGTTCCCTGTGAAATGCAATACCCTGTGCAGTGTCTTCTACAGACATCCTTTCTTCAGTTCCCTCTTTCTGCTGGCTGGTCCCAGTAAATGAGCTGTGAAGGCAAGTGGGAGGGTCAAGAGTTTGGAAAACAAATTTGGTTTTCCGCTCCTCTTTGAAAGATACAGGATTATGTTATTCATGACGCTCCTTCATTCCTCGACCCCTCCCTCTCACTCTAAAGCGTTCAGTTAAACATCTAGTCTCATTTCTATTCCAAATAACGTTAGTGAGGATCTAAATGAAGAGGCAATACCACCTCAGCAGCAGTTGGTGTGTGTTTGGGTGGTGGTGGGAGGAGCGAGAGAGAGGTTGCCATCACACCTTTGCTTGCTAGCATGGCTGGTTCTGCCTATCCAAGCTTCTAGGGCCATGTTGATGACACAGCTTTATCGCACTGACGGCTCCAAAGTACAGGCTAGGTAAAAAGCAGCCAAAAAAAAGTTTAACTACAATTCCGATCTTGCTTCAAACCTGTTAAAGATTCCTTCGTGTCTGCCCTGGCTCAGGTCTGTGGAACACGCATCCCTTCCGCAGCAAACCAGCCCAAATGATCTGGGTATGACTGCAACCACGAACTACAGGTTGTACTACAGACGTATAGCGTTGTTCTATGAGAAGGAGATGAATTATAAGCCATGGGAGTCACCGCTTGTAGTGCAAACATTGTAACCTGGCTGCCAGATGGCCTAGCAGCTACCGAATACCTGCGGGTGACTGTTCATCCTTATCCAGGTATTACTACAGACAGAAAACCAACTTGATCAAAGCACCGCAAATACTCGGAACAGTCTGTCCCTACACCTCATTCGGTTAAAAAAACACCACACAACTTTATCTGATGATAGGAGTTAAACTCTTTATTCCATTCAGAGGCATCTGGCAAGTGGAGCTGCATTGGGGGGCACATTACAGATGAAAAATGATCCATACTTTGTGGATATTGAAATCATTTACAGTATTTACTTTCTAGCTATTCCCAAATACTCCAAATTACCAAGTCTCAATTGAAAAGAAAAACATGATTTACCATACTAAGTCTAGAAATTTAAGAGAGATGACAGTATTTAAATCAGCAGATGTAAATGCAGCGCCTATTTGTAAAGTAATTTTTATGGAAAATAATGAAGTCAAATCCTCCTCAAATGTTAAGAAAGGAACGTCAGACTGACTTAAGCCTCAACAAAAATTAAAATGCTATGACTTTTCATACTTCAGTAATTTTAAATTCATTGTAAGAAAAAAAAATTATCCTAAAGGCTAGATGAAGGTCACTGTCAAAAAGGAAAAGAAACTCATTTTTCTTTGCTAAAACTACAACATAAGTTTGTGGTTTTTAAACCAATTAGTAAAGAAGAGATGCAGGAAAAACACTTCAGACCATTTTCAAAATTATCTAATCTGTACAACAATGATCTTTGGGAAAATTATCTAGTCTATGTAGTAATGCCTCTATTTCAACATGAACCTAAGAGGTAGATAACAAAATGATGAAACAAATGTTTTTGCTCGTTGTGCCCCTCAAATCAGTGCAGCATGGTGATTCTGATCATCTCATGCACAAAAAACATCACAAAAAAAGGTTCAGAGGTAATAGCATGGCTCTGTCGACCACACACATACAGGCGCGCACGCGCACACACACACACACAGCAGTCTTTATGCACCATGTGTTGCCACATTTTTTTTTTTTTTCTTAAACTGAGGTAGACTGAAGTTTATTGTAGAAACTTGAATGTGTCACTATTACCACAATCATCATTCAAATTACATTCGGAAATTAAAAAATTTGGTAACTTTCCTGTTATCCCTGCCTTTTGACATTTTTTTCTCCTCTAATGGTTGGTTGCAGAACGTGCATAAATCCTGCTGCATCTATTATAAGCCAGGCTAGAGAGGTTGTTGGTTTTTTTTTTTTTCCTTGTAATAGTTTTTAAAACCTTCAAAGTGGCTTAGTGTGGCCCATAACAGCGGCTGGATATGTAAACTTAGCCTTTCATTATCTTTCAATGTGATCAAACACTGTTTGACCTTCCCCCATCGTGGTAACTGAAAGCAGTATGATGTGATCTGCAGACAGCAGAGACCCTCACGGCCTCAAACACGCTCCAGCAGATCGAGTGTTCTATCAAACTGAAGATGAAGCTTGCTCTTTGAACAAAATGGCAAAGTCCAAATGGGCTGCAAATGGTTAAATGTAGCATTATTTAGGTAGTGATGGTCAAAGGCACAAAGGGTTCATGCATTCAATCAAGTAGCACAAAAAAAATATTCAGCCTCTTGCAGCCTTCTAAATTTTTTTCCCCCAACCCCAGCCTCTTGCCATCACTTCCTTGTCCTGTTCCCAAAAAAGTACCGTCACAAACTTTTTCATCCCATCTTAAAAGAAAACTAAACGGCATTGCTGCTATCAGAATGTTGGCATCATTCACTATCTTTTGAACATTCACTGAATTTTTTTTTTTTCAAACAAATGATGGTGTTGAAGCCCTCAGAAAATCTGAGGCTATGTTTTTTTTACCCACCTTACTCCCATCAGCCAGCAGCTAGAAGTGCTCTACTATATTTTTTCCCCGATAAGTCTGTAGTACTCCTGGCTGGTGGCTGATCAAATTTTAATTTTTTTTAAAAAAATAAAATGCTCAAGAACTATTAGCTTTATAAAGTATACAAAATACCAAAAAAAAAAAAAGCAAAAAAGGAACAATTTCTCATTGAGGTACTAAATGCCTGAGGTAGTTTAGTAAAATGCATATTTATCTTTTTATGCCCTGGCCAACACCATTCAACACTTCCCTTAGGTTATTCATGGCAGTGTTATGTAAAAATGCAACCAAATTCTTTTTAAAAAATGCCACTTGTTTCAACATTGGGATTAACACTTAAACTCTTGTCGATACCCTTGCTCTAACCCTTGCCCACCCGCAATCCCACCCTCCAAATGTGTTTCTTCTTTTACAACTGGACCTGTAAGAGCAATGCCTTTTCTTTTTTTTGTTTTTCTTTTCTTTTTTTTTTTTTAAACCAGTGAACTCAGAAGAGAAAGCTTCATTAAACCAAGTTCTAAAATTGTTGGGGAATAATAAGAACAATAAAAAAGACTAACGAGTTTATGTTAAATTGTGAGAATAGAACAAAAGGGAAGTGAAGGGGTCCTTATTTTAAAGCTGGGTTTCAAAAGTTTGAGAGAGCCTAAAGAATACATTCTCAGAGACAGCGTTCAACGGTTGCCTGGTCCTCGAACAGGTGATTGGCTTGGTGGATCTTCTGCATATAACTTCAACAGGTGCTCACCACCCGTCTTCTCTGTCGCACAGTCTGTCTTTGGTCTGGCATCTGTCTCTGATGGGCCATTTCCTAAACCTTTATTTTCGTCTTGGCTGAGGCTGTCCGCTTTGCAATGTTTTTTGCTGTTGCTGCTGCCTTCTTACCTGAGCCAGTATTTCCTGAATTTTTCTCTGAGCAAGCTGAAAGGACATGAAGAAACAACCCATCATGATGCCGTGCCGCAGTGACTGCTGTTTACAACTGACTATAGATGCTACTGGGACTAAGAAAATCTGGAATAACTAAGTTCCTAGTACTGAAAAGATTACTCATTAGTTAAAAACACTTGGGTATGTGTTGCATCATGTGTAACATGACGGACAACTTAATTTTTAATTTTTTTTTTTTTTTTTCACCTACCACAACTATCCGCATGGTCAGTTTTCACATCCATAATACAGAAAGCATGAGCATAGGAAGATGACTACCAACATTAAGATAATTGAAGCTACAGGCTACTTTCATTTTACTCCTCTGGAGATACTAATGTTTTATAAGAACCACTGTTTTAATAGACAGTGGACAATTTTTTTTTTTCGTATATACACCAGGGAATCCAGAAGGTCAGACTTACAGGACTTACCAGCCCTACCATCTCCTTTCTGAACTACAAGTCACCTGTAGCAACGTATCAAAAGGAATTGGTCTGAACTAAGAGTTAAGTGAGGGAAGGAATCTTGTGATCCTTTTCTTTATGCTACTAAGTCAACAGATTGGGCGATGTGGACAAATTGCATATATACGTGCAGCTCTCGCCAGGTACTATGAGATGGCTTTTATCTCCCTTTCATCTGAATTTCAGTCCAATCACAACTTGGGTTTTCTTTTGCTTTGAAAGTTTTAGCAGTGCCAGAACCTCCATATATTGGTAGGAGAATTTAAGATTGTTTGACATACGTAAAAGTGCAATATTGTTATAAATCTCTCACAGGCATGAGGAAGGTTTATCACAGCAAGACAATTAGAGGAGCCTGGCAAGCAGTGTCTTCTGTATCCTCAGTATAAGTCTTCCATTCCTTGGCTCTGCAAGTGGATGTAAAAAAGACCATGGAAATATCAAGGTAATACAGGAATTCACTCCAGTCTTCCTACCTGGCATGCATAGAAATGACCAGTTATTTTCACGACCACCTGATCATTTTCATCAGGTGTCTGGTCACGAGGGACTACAACTTCTGCACTTGTCAAGTTTTGAAGCTCATTTACCTATAAATAGATAGTAGAAGTCAGAAAAATCTTAAACAAATATCCCACAACCACCAAGCCTCAAAGATACTGCTGACCACAGAAACACCATCCTCTAAGTTATGTTTAAAAAAAAGAAACCCACTAACAGAAAGCATCTCTGTGCAGCAGTGCGCACTTTCCAAGCTGAGCCTCTTGTGTCTCTGACAAATTAGCACCAAGTTCTCTAGGTTTGTAGACGTGTTTTAAAGGCTAAATACAACACACAGAAGGTGTTAAAAACATGACTTAAAAAAGCAAATAGATGCCACAGTGTTTACAGTTGAGTTTGCAAGTTTAAGGTCAGAACACTCATACAATGTATAATGTAGGGAAGAAAAATGTCAAAGTATTTCTACAGTTTTCCTTGAAAAACCTCCACAAGATGGAGAACTCCAAACAGAACAATGAGAAGTGTCCAAATTCTTTTCAGTAGCCTATCAGCTTCCGTAGTGTTAAGTAGAGGTAAGGTTAGAGTTTTGTCCCATTTACACTCATTTTATTTTAGAAATGTATAGCATTATTTAAAAGTGTTTTAGATAAATGACTTTGAAAAGTTGTTTGTCCTTAAACCTCTTACCACTGCAAGTAATGAAAGAGGCCATGTTGCCTCCTGACACTTAAAGACCCTGTTGTGCTCAAGGATGGAGACCCAAGACTGAACCATTTCTTTGCAAATATCGGCTAGCTCCTGACTTACAACCATATGAAAATACTAGAGAGTGTCAGCATCTTTTCAGGATCGAAAAATCTCAGTGATGTTATTTTATGCAACAAACTGAGCCTAAGAAATGCCATCAATTAAGTTGAAGCAAATTTTTTTTAGTTGTTTTTTTAAATGTTGGGGTCTGAACATGTCTTAATTTCCTACCACTTATTTAGAAATTATGCTTCCACTCAGTTTTGGACAGAAGTGCCACCTTTGGACACATTGGGTTTGATTTTAATTAAATGAGATTAGTGAAATTTTTTTGCAAAATCTGGCATAAGCTAAGTTTCACAGAAGCAGGTCTTGAGTGGAAACTTGTCCGTTCTAAATGGAAGAACTACATTTCTATTAATCAAAGCCCTGCGATCTGACTGGGGCTATCGATTTTTGTTAGACTATTTCTTTTTTAGATGAAATAAATCATTCTGAGATTGGCTTCTCTTGACTCCATGCTAGAAGAAAGGAAAGCTTAACAACTACAGTTAAGAAAACAGCACTGGCTTCAATATAACTTCAAAGGATTAGCTATTAGCTAAATGTTTAAGCCTTATACATATATACACACTGAAATAAGAAACATAACTGAACAACACTAGAAGTTTTATTTCAGCTACTTACTGTTTTGCCTCCTTTACCAATAACTCTACCAGCAGCATAGGATGGCACTTTTATATGAGCCTCAAGTTTCACTTCTTCTTTAGGTCCAAAGAAATTTTCTTCTTTAAGTTTTCCATAGATTCTCCCTTGAGCCTACAAAAATGCTTTCAGTTAGAGAATGTGCTTACTGCAATCTAGTTAACGTCAAGAAATTCCACAGAAAGGAGAATTCTCAGTACACAACCCTGACAAGGCGTTTTCCCTAATAAATACAGTAACTATTTTTCCAAAAGAAGTCTTTGCACCAAACACCACTTGTGGAAGCACTGCCGTCCAACTTTAAAGACTGCATGACAAACCAGGGAACCACAGAGCAATTTAACAGAGATCATTATTATTATGCTTTTCAGTAGAAATATTGCTTTTAAAAGAACTATTGCATCTCTGTAGATGTGGTGGAGAGAGTGGTGGAGACCTGTAAAGAGTGGTGGAGAGAACTGTCTGGCTGAAGCATGTTTTTTATTACACCCAGAAGCACAGAATGCAATTAATTGGCTCAGAAGCCCATTCTTTTAAGGATGCTAAACAAAAAAAGAAAAAAGCCACCCCCCCCCCCCGCCCCCAACAAGTCATGGGATAAAGACTCCAATTACAGAAAACAGCTTACTTCTACAATCTATTACAACATATTGTTTAAAAATAAATGAATCTGAGCTTGCTCAATTTTCCAAAGTGAAAAATCAAACTGCCTAGATCTAAATAGCACCATGGGAACAGTATTACTCTGACCAGCACACAGTTCCCTTTTCTGGGGAACACACATGTGCCAGGTAGCAAGAAGAATGTCCACTGGGACTAAGCTCATGAATCTTGCTGATTCTTAAACACATTTATTTCCTTCTTCCCTGCCATTCATCAGTGAATTCTTGAGAAATGGTAACCAGATCTTCTACTCTGCATCTCCTAGAGGCATCGAAAGAACATTTCAGTTGAGATACTGAAGAGAGATGCTCTGTAAAGACTGTAAACCTAGGACCACAAAGCCTTTCTTGTTCAGATTCTTTATCACCTTCTATTAAGTCACGCTCACCAGCCCTGTCACCGTGTACAGGCTAAGTCCAACCATCTTACAGGCCACCACTGCAATGGAATATGAAAAGTCCAAAAAGATTACCTGGTGTGATAATTACGTTAAATATCGTCAGCTTATTTTATCTTCTTTCTAGCTCATGTCCTAAAAGCCTACTTAAGTTCATGCTACTCTAGAATGGGTAACATGAAAGACATTTTGTGACCTTGGACCTGAAAGTACTCAGTATTTTGGGTAAGTCAGACTCCACCTGAAGAGTATGGAAAAGTCTAGAGTACATGGCTTTGACCTAGGTGGGATACTGCAGGTCATGGGACCCTGTCACAGAGGACAAAAGCTATCATCTTTCCAGTGAGACAAAAGACTACACAAAAAAGCCATACAAAACCACAGTACAACTACCACGTTCTGGCGCCATCAACAGCCCTGGAATCAGAGATTCCTGCTCCAGGAAAACACTTCAAAAGGGTTTGCCAAGAGCAGATAAAAATACTACTTCCCAGCCATCATCTTGAGCTGGAGATTTTGAAGCTATTTCCAAATTTGTTAGAGACAGACAGTAGCCAGCATAGCTCTTTTTATTTCAATAGCAATGCTTTTCGTGTGCATAACACCTTGACAACCTGCACAGGCTGCAGGGCTCGGTGGGAGAGGTACTGCAGGAGAAGAGTGTGCATCACTGCTGAATTATGAAGCAAGGTGGGATGTTGACTTTTTAAAAGATAGTAGATATATTTCCAACACCCCAAATCTTTCAGCTCTTGAAAAAGTCTTTAAGGAAAGGAAACAACCTAACTGGGCTGCAGCTCCTTCACAGTAAAATAGTGGCTGAAATATGTTGTCTACACTGGATTCCACTTTGCTTGCACACGTCCCAGATCCAAGGCAACATGATCATCTCAATATTGGTGTCACAGGTATGCCTAAACTCTAGGGAGCACTGCAGCAGAGGCTGTAAACAGTGGCATATTCTCTTCCCATTGCCTTGCTAATAAATAGCCCTGCATACCGCAACATCCTCAGGCTACTGCAGCTGAGGAAGAAAGGGGTGCAGCCACTACAGCTACCACAGACATGAATCACAGACAGCAGAACACAATAGAATAGGG